TTTTTTTGAGTGGATTCGAGGAGTTTAAATGGGTGCAATAAAAACAGTAACAAAAGTGTCCCTGGCCGGTCATTTTGACCCGCATAGGAATTAATGGAATTTACGAGAAAAATGCATTTTTCGTTATATTTGATTTTTTTTTTATATACAAAATCTGAGACAATCCAGTAAAGATTTATACCCAAACGAAGGGCTGAGACTACAGAATATCCCCAATGCATAAAAAACTCACAGACACACACACACACACATGCACACACACTGGTACACACACTCTCATGGAACACATTGTAATATTTTTATAAGAGTCATTTTTCCATTTTTTTGACTTAACACAGTTAGATTTGAGTGATGTGGTGGAGACCAATGAGTTTATATAATATTTATATTTTAAAAAATATATTATATATTTAGTTCATATTTATGAAATTGTATGTATATACATATGTTTAGGTTATAATTCAGTTAGAATTTATTTTTATTTTTTTTTACAAAATATGGATTTTGTAATGTTTCAATATATATTTTAATCCATAAACAACCAAATTGAAGCCTTAAGATTATCTAATTTCTCATGTTTCACTTGTTTTGCTCAGTTAAAAATCTCCATAGGGTTCTATAGGCCCCTCTAGTGGCTGTAACCATAAAATGCAATTTTATGTCATTTTTCCCCGCCAGATGGCATCAGAGACACTCGGTGACTCAATTCCAAGGCCATCTGTTGGTTTTTGATGAAACAGGACTGAAATTGTCTTTCTTTGTTTTTTTTTGTTTTTTTTTTTGGTGAAATAATGTACAAAAACTTCTTATCTGCTTATGTTTTCTTAAAAATATCCAGAATAAAAGGTAAATATGATAAACATTACCAAAAAATAATAGAAAAACCTGCATTAAAAATTTGAAAAATGTTAAAATTATAAAAATTTTCCAATATAAGCTTTCTGGACCAAAAATAAAATGTGTGTCATTTTTGGCCTTCGGGTCATTTTGACCTGCGAGGGACACTTTTGTTATAGGTTCGGGAGGGACGGATGAGGGTTAAAAATAAAGGTTTCAAAGGGTTTTTTCCAGCGATGCCACATAACCTTTGAGTGAACAGTTCATTTTTTGCTAGTGTGAAGTGTATTTTAATAATCTGAAGAACCTTTTTCCACTATATAGAATCTTTTGCGGAATGGAAAGATTCCATTGATAAAGGATGTTTAATGTTCTTCATGGAATCATCGTTGAAGAGTGCACTGTGGGGCAATATGTTGTAGTGTCATATGTAAAGTGAACAAAATAGCTTTTTGTAGTCAAATATATGAATTTCAGAAAAAAACTTTCGCTGAGTACGAGTAAAAAGTGTGACAACTAGCCCCAATCTCTGTTATGCAGTCTGGATAAATTCTGTTTCAGTTTGGAAGTAATTTTGGAAATGACAGTGGAAAAGATATCAAGATCTGTTTGCTATTTTTATTATTCTGCCTTTTTGCAGTTGGCTATAGCATTTCAGTGTTCTGTGAAAAATCACACAAATGATGCAAGTCTGTATATGAAAATAAAATGCAATACAAAATACTAAAATGTGTTTATAATTTGCAAGACAAAAAAAAATAAACTTTTAGAAATGGTATGTTTGATTTGCAACCAGGTCAATGGATGTTACAGGACAGAACTTGTATCATATGAATCAACAGATACTTGTTTTACTGGATATATAACATTTACTCAAAACTATAACCTTAGTGTTAGAAAATGGAAATATCATGGCTGAGCTGACAGGGACATGTTTATTTCATATTTTCATTTATTTTACTCCTAGTTGATGTAGGTTGGCAAATTGTATTTTTTAAACTGTTTTTGTTTGTTTGTTTTTTAAAGTAAATATATATAGAAAATGAAAGCCCATGTCCATGTTTTCTAATAGCAGGCTACTACATACATTCACTTGAACTTACACAATAGGGATGACAAGCAGATGGAGAATAGATGGATGAGATATGTTGTAGATCACAAAACAGCAGATAAATGTGGGAAAATGCAAAAAGTTTGAGATAAATTGTTTATTTTTAATTTTATGCTTATAATTTAAAGGGTTA